AGATATTTTATATTTAAAAGTCAAATAAATGATGTTATTAATACAAATAATACTTCATAAGCATAATAGATACTGTTTTGTTGCATACTAGATGGGGTGAAAGGTAACATCCTTGACCGCCAGAATGCGCCACTACTGCAAAAAAGTTTATGGTGCCTTGTAGTCCGTTCATATTTAGGCAGACATGCCAAGTGGCAGTGCGATACTGCCCTTAGTTTTGTTTTGAGAGCTGATTGTTGTTGACGTGTTTGCGAAAACGATTTTCGTTCTCTCATAAAACATTATTTTTTGAGAGGCAAAACGGCGAAGGAAACAAAAGAAAAGTTGGATAAATATTATGTGGCTAGTACTCCGTCAGATTACACCGTCAAATATTGGTTTCGAGAGTTTCGTGGTGGCCGCACCTCCACTACCGATGAAGTCCGCAGCGGCAGGCCCTCCGATGCGGTTACCGAGGAAAATGTCAAAAAAATATATGAAATGGTGTTGGCTGACCGGAAAGTGAAGGTGCGCGAGCTAGCAGATGCTACAAAGATTAGTACTGAGCGAACACGCCATATTTTGGGCGAGATTCTGCATAAGAAAAAAATTTTTTTCATTCCCAGGGAGGTTACTTTTCACCCCACCCAGTAATTGTACTCTATATTTTAATTATTTTGAGATATCTCAATACAATGTTGATTCAAGAGTAATTAGAGATTCGATGAACGTTGTCTCATAAATTTAAATTTAGAATATGTATAATTACAATCACAGTGCAAAAAAAGTGTCAATTAGTCTAGTAAAGTATTATTTGTATTAATAATAATATGGAACTTACTTAATTTAGTAAATGTACAGTATAACAGATCACCTTCCGATGATCTTGATCTTAACATGTGTTGTTAAGGTCATGACCCTTTCGGAAGATTTTAGTCCGCGGTCGTTCTTTGCGTTAAAAAGTTATTAACAAAAAAATTTGAAAAATAATGCATTGTTTCTGCTATACATGCAATATTAAATACCATTCTACATAGCTTTTGACTTTCAACACGAAGCGATTTTCACTCTTCTCTCCTTCTGCTTTAAGGGCACACGACTCTCACCCCTCCTCCCTCCTACTTCAAGGGCGCACAACTCTTACTTCCGACTCTCACCTCCCCTCCTCCCCCTGTTTCAGAGATACACATTCAATACTTGAATGATCAGAAAAAAGACAAGAAGCAGAAAAGTTACGAAAAAGAAGAGAAAATCCGAAAGAAAGAAGAAGCATGTTTAGAACTTTTAGATGAGGTGAATGATCGGCTCAAAAAGGCATTGAAAGATAATAAAAGTGAAGATAATCGCGCAAGGAATTTTGGAAGATTTGAATGTATTAAGGAAAAAAATACACGAGAAAGAAGTCACAAGCCAATTACAGAACAAAATTGAGAAAAAAAAATCCAGGCTTATTACTTCCTTCCTTAAATCCAAACCGTTGAAAGTACCACGATTGGAATGAATATTTTATTTTATATTTTATAATTTTACTAATATGAAAGTGGTAAAAATTTACAAAAATGAATTTATCTAATATTTTATTATTTATTGCATCTATTTGCATAATTTTGTTGTGTATTTTCAGCATTTAAGTATGTTTTATTGTTCCTCTGTTTTATGTAATTTAAGATTTTTTTAAGAATATTTTTCATTCGGTTATAACCACAAATTTTATGTAGTGATAGTTCTGGTAAACATTTATATTTTATTATATTTGTAATTTGAAAATGCTAGTCACAAGCATAATTTTAAGCATTCATAAGAATGTTATGTGATAAACGAACACAGTACCTATACATATTGCAATTTATCATAAAAGGAATATATAGAATATTTCTTTTTTTATAATCTTTCATAAAAATTCTATAATACAGTTTTAATTAATGTTTTTATTTAATATCTGAAACTAGTTTAGAAATCTTTCTGTTCATCTCGCTATTTTTCACTATTTACCAGAGTTGAGAAATGTTATTTTTTCCGTTACTCTGTCGTTACTTTCTATAATAAACATAACATTATAATTTTTTATAACTAAGTTTGTGTTAAGATTGGAAAAGTCGACTTTTCCAACTTTAGCACAACCTTAGCGTTTAGTAATAAAAAATTGCAACGTCATTATCAAATTGTTTATTATAAACAGTAATAATAAAGAAACGGAAAAAGTAACGTTTTCCAAGTCTGTTGTTTACTTTTTATCACTATTTACTCACTATTTAATCACTTTTTTGCGAAAAAACTCACTTTTCTCAATTATTTTGACGTGCTAGGTCGATGGAAAGCTTAGTGGCTTGAGGGATGTCCATTATCAGGCTTCTCTCTGATATAATTATAAATTTTTATTAATTATCGGTAAAGTCATCGTTTTTTCAATTATTCCCAAGTTTTCGGGGGCCTCATTGAGTCACGATAATTTTCCCAGAGCCGATGGCCTTTAATAGTATCTCATCTGTGTCTTAAGACACATTAACTTTAAATCGAATTTCCACTTATTTTACTCTGCGGTTTTTTTTGACGGTGGCGACACAGAATTAGATGGCTGACGAAACCGATAGCCACATACACATAAGCACGAGCCCATATACACCCGTCGATTAAGGCCCAGTTCCACAATTCATGGTTAACTCTTAACCGAGGTTCAACTAGTTTCTCTTTTTCCAATTTTAGAATTGGAAAGAAATAATGAATAAGTTGAACCTCGGTTAAGAGTTAACCGTGAATTGTCAAACTGGACCTGAGAGAAAAAATGCAAAGAGAGAAATTGTAAATTTAAATATATTAACTATTTAATTTGCATTTTTTTCTCCAATATCTGTTTCAGTCGGAATCCTGCAAAGTTATTAGATTGGTCAAGCTAACCGGAGCTTGGTAAAAGTCGCCCTAAAAGATTGCAACACTTTTTTTTAATAGATTTCGGAATGGAGTTTGCTCACTGAACGATTGGTTCTTAGTTATGGATCCATAAGTAAGGACCAATCGCTCGGTGAGTAGACTGCATTCCAAAAACCATGGAAAAAGAACTGTTGCAACTTTTTAGGCTATAGTCCACTTGGCGCTACAAATGCTTCGAAGCATTTGTAGCGCCAAGTGGACTGCCCTCTTATAGTGAATTCGAATGAACGCATTCAGTGCGCACTGGTGCAATTAAAGCCGTCATACACAAAATAACGTAAAGATATGTTTATATATAAACATAGAAATCGATTAAATCCTGAAATACTCAATACATTTGATTGTATTAGCTAACATATTTTATAATTCGAAATATTTGCATTTTATTTTTATACTCAAATTAAATCAGTGTATAACGGCTTTAATATGCACCAGTGCGCACTAGTTATTCCAATCGAATTCGCTATTGGAGTATATCCACATAACTTGCATAGCCGCATAGACGTATGCATAAAGAAAATTATCCTATCGCATTTTTCTTATAAAGACGCTCGTAAAATGTGATTGGATAATTTTCGCTATGCATATGTTTATACAGTTATGCAAGTTGTGTGGATATATCCTTAAGATCGCAGACTTTTGCATAACGCTAGTGCGTAAGCGAATCAACTAATTTCCTCCCATTTCATGGAAAAGAAGAATTCGATTAATTGATTCCCTTATGCACTATGCATTATGCGTCAGGGCGGCGTCCCATAGAGCGGAAATTGAACAACGGAACTCGCGTGTGTACGTGCGTGCGTGCGTGCTATATGAAAATGTTGGATCAGAAAATGTTACAGTCTGTCCGATAAGAACGTGGTCGACTTATATATGAAAGAAAAATTTATTTATTACTATTAAGTAATAATGATTATATTTTATTATCGTTAAAATGCAATTACATTAATAATGGGTCCAGTCACCGATCTATAATGGACTGGCATCTCCGAAGAATACTTTCCACTAAATTGATAGTATATTCGTGCGGTAAAGACCTCCAAATGCATCAAATTTCGGCGGACAACTGTTTTAAAGTGAATGTCCGTCTCCCACGAAGTTTTCTTTCGATAAACGCCCATACATTTTCAATCGTATTCGCATCGGGTGATTGCGATGTCCAGCACCGTGATATCATTTTGCGCTTTCCAGTTCTTGCAGAGCTTGCTTCGTTATCTTCTTGAATCCAATCTTCATTTTTATGGATAAACCAACATTGGGCAGAGTATCTTATATTTCTAACATTTTTTCTGTATTCAAGCGTAAATACAATAAAAGATAACTAAATCCTTGCTCTGAGAATCAGCCCCAAGCGTACATCTTTATATGCGTCGTGCCACATTCTGGTAAATCATCTACCATTTTTGCTTCAATATAACATTGTACTTACTTTTAAAAGAATTATTTTGATTTGGCAACATGTACTTGGCGGCAGTGAATTAAGACATTTTCAGTCGCTTTGAATGTGTACATAAAAATAGCTTCATAGTGCGATGCGTAACACTCATTTTGAAATATGCTTTTTCTATCAGGAATCAAACAATAACTGACATACTATGGCTAATAATGCATCATGCACAAAAGGTAACACTTATCAGCACAAAAAAGTTAAGAGCATCTTTTACCGGCTATGAGTAATCGCGACCACGCTCTTATCGGACAGTAGTACATTTGAAAGTTATTTAAACACGTACAAAAATGGATAAAACATATTTGCAGCTCTACATCCTATGAAACACGCATATTTATAATTTTTTTATTTCAGTGAATTTGTTACACATTGTGTATCAGAAGATTTCTGACATAGAAATTGTAATGCTACTTCTGTAGTGCTGGCTTCTTTTATTAAATAAAAAATCAAGTTATTATTTTCTTAACAATTTTCTATTACTTCATAGTTGATAATGATGTCTACTTCGAGTACATTAAAGGGACAAAATGGGCGGCAATAGCAAAAAAAAGACAAGAAAGTGTAGATGACAATTGTCCCCCTTCCATTATCAGTCGCAAGATATCATGGCATTCAGGAGACTTATTCAAGAATATATTTTCAGGAAAAATCTCCATACTCAAAGGATCGTCCTCATGAACGCGAAGGACGTGAAAGTCGTGATAAACAATATCCTTTTTTATGCAAATTTAATTAAGTACAAATATTATTTTTATTATTTTCAAAACTATGTTTTTTTTTACAACTAGTTGATTTTATATAATAATAGGTGCGGTCGAGTTATCGCTACGAATACTTCGAAGCATTTTTTGGTCAATTAAATGCTTTGAAGCATTCGTAGCGACAACTCAACAGCATCCAATGTATATAACATCTCGTAACTAGAACATTTGTGATACTTGATGTGACATGACAGTATATTAAACATTGTAGCTAATTAAGTGTTAACATAGTTTATGTATTATGTAGAATGAATCGTACATAGAATGAATCGTACAATTATTGAGTAAAATAAATAAGTTTTTTATGTGACATTTTCTTATTTTAATTAACAAATTTTGCTAGTATGTGTATTAACATGGTTCAGCGAATATAAAAATTATGTTTATTAATTGTATTTTTGTGATTATAAATGAACATGTATGAAAATAACATTTAACACTTAATTACATTACTCAAATATAACTATTATATTTTATTCCGTTTATGAAATTTGTAACATTTTGTTTTGAATTTTTTAACACAAAATATATTGTTTTTTTTATAACTATAATTTTCATTATCTTTTTTTGAAAGAAAATCCTTAACTGCTCAATAACTGTATGATTTATCTTATGCACAAAAAATACAAGTGCTTGATATGATCCTTAATTCAAGTGCACCAGAAGGAGTTCAGATCCGAAACGAAGATGATGTACAACAACGGAAAGGAGCTCGACTTAACATTTTCTATGCTATGATTTGATGTTGCATGTAATAAACGTAGAATTCAAAATAAAGCAAAAGGATAATCAATAATTTGTATATAATGTGTTTTAACATCCAGTTTCATAAAATAAATTATCTAAATGTTCGATATTTTTTGATACATGTTTCAATTCAGTCTTTTCTTCTGAGAGTGAAGAAACTACAATCTTCGCATATGTGCATCTAGTGTAATTTTCAAAATTGATTATTGTGCAATATATAATAAATAGTAAATAATATTTTGAAATGTTTTATTTGCTACGAAGAGGTATTAACGAAAGTACAAAAATACTGATCGGCTTTGGAACTCTCTTCTTCCAAGCGCTTTAGCCGCGTCTTGGCATCCTGAAGAATATCTTCGGTAGAACTACTCTCACTGACAATTGCGTTTGTGCTGACAATTCGAGTCACAGGAACTGGCACTTTAAATGGTTGTAATAAATGAACTTCCTCCAATTGGTGTGATAACTGGACGCTGCGCTGCGTGATCTGTTCTATCCTTGATCGTTGCATTTCCACGAGATTCGTTAGTTCCAGCTTCTCCCTTTGTAGAGTTCTGCATTCATCCATTATGGTACGGCTCTCCCTATCAGTTTGTACATAAATGTCTCTGAGATTGTTTTGAGCATATTGATTCGACGTGCTTTGTGACATTTCCTTCTGCATTTTAACGAGCTCTCGTTGTAGTTTCTTCAAGCCACTTTCGAACTTCCTGTAACTATCTCGTTCTCTTTGCAATCTACAAAAATTATTTTAATTTATTTTAAATAAAAATATTTAAGATAAATAGATGAGTAGAATAAAAAATCAGAATAAAAAAATTATGGAAATTAGGAATTGTTACTATTGTTTAATTGCCTATCAAGTATTTCTAGAATTATAATAGAATTTAGAAATTATCTTTTTTCTCGCTTTCATTAAGTACCTGTTAGCTTCTTGTGTTAAGAAATTTTGTTTCATAGATAGTTCTATTTCCTTTTGCAGAACACATTGTGCATTGCTGTTTTTTTCTTCCTTCAATTGCTTTTCTTTCAGGGTCAAAGATTGCATTAAATTCTATATACAGAAAGAAACACAAAAAGAACGCTTTTCAGCAAGATATAAATAATACAATATAACACAGTGAATCATTATTATATCACATACTTAATGTTTTTCAACATTAAACAAAGATAAAATATTTCACTGCATTATACTACCATCTGTCTCTTGCTGGAAAGTACCTAAAGTAATATAAGATTAGCGCTGAGACACTATCTCTCCAGATATTTAGATTTAGATTATTTCTTTAGGACTTGACTTTTTTTCTAAGTGAAAAACTTATATACTGGTCTTTAATAATAAAAAAAGAATCCTTTATCCATTACAAAATTGATTATCAAGAAATAATATATACAAATAATTATTTATTATAAAGTAAAACTGCAGAAAAGGGGAATAACCGCCAATGACCTTGTTTTGACATATGTTGTCAAAATGTCAAGGTCATGATGACCCTGAGTAACCTCCCAATAAGTTTTAGTTGTTGCTCGTTATTCATTAAACAGTTATTAACAGTCGAAGTTAATAATTATTTCCCTGCTTGACAGCGTTCAGAAATTATGTTTAGATAACTGTAGTGTGCATTTTTGCTATAATATACATAATGTAATCTGTAGTTTAGTTGTCTGGGCGTAATTCCTGAATGCAGCCCTTTATATGAAGAATCAAATAATTTTAGACAGGGAGAGAGGTATGAGATGAATGAATTCAAGGAATATATAATACAACTTCCCACGCAAAGCAATTTTCACTCCACCTCTACCCCTGCTTAGGAACGCATGACTTTCCACGCGAAGCGACTCTCACTCCGCCTCTCTCTCCAGCTTCGGGACGCGCGATTTCCATGCGAAACAGTTTTCATCTCCCCTCCTTGCTATGCGTCCCTAAGCAGAGGGGGAAGTAAGAGTCGTTTCGCAAGGAAAGCCATTATGTAAGCAAGGAAAGATACAGAATAGTTTCCAATCAAGAGATACGATAGTAGTCTCGCGCCAAGTATTCGCGCGTACTGGGCGCAGGAGATACTACAGTGTATCTTTACTCAAGCCGTCGAGTTGAAACACTATGTTCACATCCAAAAAAAAAAAACGTCTAGACGGACGAAATTTTTAATAGGCTCAATCGATAGCACGGGGTCCCCTATTGTATAATGAAAATTAACGAAGTCGTTATTTTTTTTCTCCGATGAATATTAAGACAGTTATTTTAATTTTTTTGTAAAAATGGAGTAAAATAAAATTAAGAATCGTCATCGAGATGTCCGCGGGGACCATGATTTGATTATAATCAGACAATTAATGCTCGAATATGCTCATATACACTTCCAAGTACCCTCTACACCACATACACTAAACCTACCCAATTCATCCGAACCCCTTCCATCCCCCTCCCATTACAGAGACCTCAATACGCACCAACATTTACCCGATATATCCTGCTACATCCTTATCCATGCACACTCTCGCCCTACCCCCATCCTATCTCTATCCCCACTTCCTTTTGAATATCTTAATATTCCTCGAAATATTTTTCATACCTTGCTACATTTTTATCTACCTCCACTGTTATCTCATTTTGAATATCTTGATACACTCCAAAACGTCTCAAACATTTTTCAATTCTCTAGTCAATCCTTACGCACTCCAGGTAGCACATATTCATTTAAAAAACGTTTTATAAAATGTTTCTCTGAAACATTTCATAACTGGTTCTTAAAAACGTTTCTGGTTAAAATGTCTATTCGAAAAACATTGAGGAAAACGTTTTTTTCTAACAAAAAAAAATGTTTAAGAAATGATTGAAATACCGTTTAAGAAACGATCAAAATACGATTCTTTTCGATATAATTTATTTTCTCACAGAATTATTTAAATTTTAAATAATGCATTCATATGTATACATAGGAAAGTTCCCTATTATGAAATAGACTCCTAATATGAGATATAGCGGCGTTTCCGCTAAACTAATGCTATCTATTGGTTCCATCATAAATTTATTGTTCTTGAAAATTATAATATTTAGTGGAAAATTCATTATTAGATCATGCCTGTAGTTGCAAAAAAAGATTTTAGAATTTGGATGTCTTCAAATTTCATTGAGATGAGCTTTTAAACCTTGATTATTATTTAATAAGTAAATATTTTTTAATAAATTTTTCATGTGATGAGAGTAGAGTAACATCATACTAATAAAAAAATACGTGATGTGTTGAATTGCTTGATTACAGAAATTAGATTTCATAATCGCAAAACCGTAAGGCGTGGAAATCGTAATATGAGATATCCAGAATATTTCTAATATGAAGAGTATTCTATTATTATATTTCTAACCTTTGCTTCTATGTCATAGTATGAAAATTGTTGCTAAAGTATAAATGTTATTGTACAATAATAAAAAGCACAATCGGAATAAATATTGAGTATTTCTGCGATGCTTGATTCCAACTACCTGAAAACGAATCAGCTAGATGCAATGCATCGCACACTCATTTTGTACGCGTACTGGCTATGTTTATTTGTATTTTAGAAACATTAAATAAAGTTTTTTTTAATTGCAATACTGATGTACTTTATGTTTTATTATCGATTTCTCGAAACATCTCATATTAGGAGCACAATTTTTTTTACTTTGCGATTTGCTCACTTTTTACATTTCTTTAAAAAAAATTTGAATTGAATTTTACATAACATTATATTAAAGCTTACTAAATTCCCTTAAAAAAAATGACCTATTATTTTTTTAAATTCTGCCTATAGATTTCTAGCATTTACCTAAAATGAACTCGTAATATCTCATAATAATGGCCTTTCCTCTACGTATTTTTTTAAAATAAAATTGAATAAATCATTAAAACAATAATTTTCTTAAATAATTTATTCAATTTTCTTTAAAAAAAAATATATGAATATATAAATATATTATATTTTATTCCATGAAAAAGCAAATTTTTTCACAAGTAAAGAAAATACTAATGTCATTGCTTCAGTCCAATATATTTACAAGTACGTGAAAAATATATTTTTTACCCTCTGTGAATCAGATGAGAAATCAACATGAATCATATGTAAGCATCATATGTAAGTATGTCTCATATCCTTATCATAAATATTTATGCTATAATTTAATATTAGTGACAACGCACTCTGACAGTTGCACGAAATCGATAATTTGCGCGCCGTATTTTTTAAGAATTTTTATTTTGAAACCTTTACTTTCGTTATAATTTTTGCTTTCAGCATAATAATTCATATTATGTATTATAATGATAATAAGAATTTCAGTGTTTAATTATTTAAGAAAAAAATTATTAGTAAGGAATTTTTTTTTAATCATGATTAGATAGATTTTATATATCAAGATCAAGGACATCAGCAATTGCTCTCCTTTTCTGCAGTTTTATTCTTATCATCTTTATCATTTATAAAATATCTTATATGAAATATATAAAAATGGTTAAAGGCATTACCTGAGCTTCTTTCACTTTTGCATTTAATGAATTAAGTTGATGCTTTATAACTGTGGCTTGTTGCTTTAATTTACTCTCCTTTGTCTTTAACTCGTCATCATACAGTTGTTTCTGTTGCATAATTCTTTTCCTTATTGCCTCTATTTTTGTTGCTTGTACAAGATTTACTTCCAAAGCTAAATTAGCTTGTGTCTTCCTGTCGTACATAGTCCTTCTTGTTGATGACTGAGTTTCAACAAGCGAGGCTATCGAGCTCAGAATAGATAGCAACAATGGTGTTTCACTATTCATGTAATTTGATATAATGTATTGGCCCTCGGGCCTGTTGGGATCAATGCCTAAAGTTTCCAGAGTGTGTGCTATGTAATCACTTTGCAACTTATATCCGCTACCATCGCCTCTATCACTCTCATCAGAGGAACAGTGTGGCACACTGTTGCAAAAGTTTACTAAAAGTGGGACTTCACTAGCAAATATCGACAGGGTGAAGGAGTAATTGTGACTAAACAGATACTCTGCTATTAACATATCATAAACATACTGTTTT